TATGCTCCCAATGTCTCACAAAAAGTCTATGACAGATGCTGAAATGGAATTCAGAGTTCTTGTGCTCTAACTCCAGTCACACTACAGGTCCAGCTGCAATCGTCCCTTTCTGTGTTGAAAGGTAATGGGCGCAACCACTGACAGACATTTCTAGATGATGAGAAACTGCCCTTTAGTGGGGCGAAAAAGTAAAATTCAGGCTAATTTACAATGTTGTTGAAGGCGTTCTAACTGAAACAATACATCCTTGAACGGAGTTTGTGAGGTTTGAATCAAGTTGAGCCTCTCTTGCGGAATAATCTCCAGGAGCTGTGACTGTGAACTGTGAAATTATCATTAGGCTGGTAACTTGCTATGGTATTCAACTTTGGCACTGTACCACTTTTTCGGGTGCTGGCTTTGCAGCTACCTATGTTGTGCTTTGAAGGACACGCAGAAATTTTTAGCTTGCATTTCTTTCTTTGACATTTAAAAACCCCTTGCATGCAGCCCATTTTTCACACTACGTTTATTGTCGTTCCCAAGCACTTGAATTAAAATCATACCTGCAAAGTCATCCTCCTAATGTGCTGCCTGATGACTAGAGGCTGACCCTGGTGAGGTACAGTGTCATAACATATGTTATATCACTTTTATTGTTTCATACCTTAGTTGTGGAGCTTTGGAGTTATTTGAACTTACGTGCCTTGATGACACAGCTGCCATCGATTTATTTTCCTGTTCATATCCTTGTTGTTTGAATCCTGGAAAACATTACACAGGGTCAGGTACTTCAAAAGCAAGACTGTAATAATCTCACATAATCCACTTTATGTTTTTTTAATTTCAGCCAACACTAGTCAATTAGATTCTGCTAAAACTAGTTTCAGTTGGCATTAGTCAACAAGAGCTTATCTTGTTTGATACTTGTCTTCGTTCCCTCCCCTTCTAGCTGAGGGCATAGGCTATTTATTCAAGGCTTCACTTCTACTTTTCACTCACACTGCGTCTCGTTAAGAGGTGTACCTTTTGGCTGTTCTCTTACAGCAGTTACTTAAAGCCCTTACCATGCACCCTGGGGGAGTGACTTAAGTTGGTGATCAATTAATTTGGGATGGCTGAACTCATTACTCCGTCAACTCTTTCTCTCATCACACTACTGGAGGAGTTCACCCCTGAATGAAACACAGGGCTGTGTATCTGCTCCTGAATCATGACAGTTTTAGCCTAGCATACTAGCTGAAATCAGTACTGGTATTAAGTTAATATACTAGACTGGAAGCTAAGCAACTCCAGAGCAAATAAAAATTCCCACAATAATTTCAGGATCCTATCAAGCTCCACTACCATAGCATGAATTTCCTTATAAATATTTGTCCATGGCAACATTGACGGTTCAGTATCTCTTCATTTTTTGTGTTGTCCACTTTCATTAAATCATACATCTTTGTTTGAAGAAGATAATTTTATGAATTCCTAGTTAAAGACTGAATGGTTGTAATTAAGACGTTGTTAAAATAACACGAATCATTTTTTTGTCAGTTAGATGACTGTTCTCAAATGATCTCAATGAAAACAAAAAAACATAACACAAGTTGTTTCCCGCGCAATGAAACTAGTGGAGTCATGTTTCCTACAGATTTATGTCTACACTTTTGTTGACCGGCCAGCTGGTGCTGCCTCTCAGAATGGATCAGACACGATTTGTAACTGCCTTCCCCTAAGTAGCAACACTGATAAATTGTCCAGTCACTGATTTCCACAAAATTTGTAGGAACTCTACTTGCCAGATTTGTTTGAACTTGGAACAGCTTCAAGAGTGAACAGTCAGAGAGAAAGATGGCAGGCAGTACAATCATACACATTTCAGGTCCTTAGGAAATAAGATTTAAAAAAATGTAAAAAATAGAATTACTAGGTTAAATAAACCCCCCTGGAAAAACTAAGAGCTAGTACAAATGCTGGGTTCAGCGTCAGATGTTCCAGACCAAAGAGCAGTGCCAACTGCTGAATAACATTCGGTGATTTTCTTCCCACTAGGTTTCTGTTAAGTAGCACAGCTCTTAAGAGATACACTCTAAAAATCCATGTCTTGAATTCAGTTGCTTGGTGATGTCAGAGTCTCCTTCCTTTTATCCTACAGACTGAAAGGAGAAAGGAGAAGAAACAGGCAGGTAAGTTCATCGGAAAGTTGCACAAATATGAGGTATAAATTAGAAGCAGTATAATTAAACTGCTATCTGAACAATTAAAAGTGTGTAAGCATTTACTTGGTAGAACAATGATTTTCTGTTAATTCCCGATTTTCTGGTGTGGGAACAAATTCACATTAAAGCAAAATGCAACAGTCGGAAACTGAAATAAACATATACACGCACCAGTTTGCGCAAGCACATTAGTAAAAAACTAAGTTAAAGCGCTGCAAGTTTCCGCTGTAGACAACGTCTCTATTTCCATCTTCCAAGAGCTGCGAAATAAAACATGAAACTGTGAGAGATGGCTGAGTCTATGAATAAGCAACAACGCGCTCGACAGAAGTGAGCTCCTCCGTACTTCAGTGAAAGCTTTCTCCGAGGCCAGCTGCCTCATCCACGCCACCCACGCAAAGCACCTTGTGAAGGCAGGAGCTCCTTCACTTGGTCAGGCGTGACAATCATCGTCATCCCCCGGGCCGGGTACCACACCCATCCAGCTCGGTGCCATCCTGTCTAAGGAGGCTACTGCTGGTACGCCTTGGGTGAGAGCAGCCCATCCGCCGCTATTCCCTCATTCCCGAGCAACCCGTAGGCGTTCCAGCTCCACGATGGACGCGAGCCCAGCATGACCTCCTTGTCCGGGTCGTTTGGTGCAGGCTCATCCCGAGCACGAGGAGACTCTGCGAGCACATAGGCACAGTTTAACAGTACGTTATCAGCTAATGCACCCAAAAGAGAGATTTGAGCCTACCAAGACATCAGGCCAAGCGTTAATACGCTCGCTTAAGACTTCCGGGAGCCTTTGGGCGACCCGGCAGTTCTCAAGTCGGGCAGGGAAAAAGCAGCCTCCTGCTCCTTGGGGCAGACCTACTCTCCGTGGGGGTGAGCGGCTGTCCTCGAGCTCCTG